TGTCTTGGCGCAGTTCCTGTTCACCCCCCGAGGGCGGCCCTCCTTCCGACAGGGCCTCGACCGACGCCCCAAGCGCAGCCTGTTTCGCGAGGCCCTGTTGAGGGGCCTCGTGGACTTCGATCTCGAACGTGCTGCCTGCCGGCATGCCCTTGAGCCGCGCCGCCAGCTGTTCAAACAAGGCCTGCGTGTTGCCCCCCTGCAAACCGCTGGCCGCGTTCGCGAAGCCAGGCTCGCCCCCCCCCCCAAGTGCCACCACAGAGCTGCCCCCCGAAACTACCTCCTTTTGCAGCCCCGCACTCTCCGCCTCCGCCGGCAAACTCTCCACTGTTTCGTCTCTGCTTTCCGCAGGGCTTCTGACAGAGCTTGCAACTCCCGAATTGCGTGCGATCCCGTCCGCTTTCGTGGACTCAGACTCGGCAACTTGCTTCTCGGACGTCTTCTCTGCGTTGCCAGCCCCCCGGTCGGCGCCGCTGCCGTTGCCAGTAGCGCTTTTCCCGTCCTCTTTACTGTTACTTCCGCTTTCACTCTTTTCCTCCACTTCGCACCCGTTCACCTCGTCCGCTTTCGATTCAACTTCCTTGTCCGATCTATCAGAAACTGTGCCTCCAGTCTCCCCCCCTCCCCAAGGCACATCTTCGCTCGACTCTTCTCCGTTCCCCTTAGCTTCCCTACCCGCAAACTCCGCTTCTTCACCCGCAACCAAACCTTCGTCTGCGGTCTTCTCGCCAGACCCCTCGAGCCCCTCGATCTCCAACCCTTCCAACAGAGAACCTTCCTCCGCTAACCCTGTACCAGTCACCGAAAAACCTTCCATCCTTTCGCCCACAGCCCTCAACTCCCTAATTGCTCGCCGGCTAGCATTTCGAACCCCCTCGCTTCGACTGTACATATCGACGAACAGCAACACGACAGGCAGCTTAGACTGGAACGCCCCCCCGATCTCGTCGTACTTGAGCTCCTCTAGCAGCGGAAACGGAACCCCCTCCAGGAACGCAGTCAGGTTTGCGCCCCCGTAGAACCCTCTAGGCGGCCCCCGGCCTTGCGTCTGGACTAGAACCAACCAGGGAAATTTAGAGATTCTCGAAATCCCTAGCCCTTCAACCCTTGACTGGCTGGCTTCCGATAAGAGTGACCTATCTTCTACGTTTCGTTCATTCGGTTCGTCGAAAGCGCGCCCCCGACCAGACCCCATCGTTCCCTGAGAGCCTGCCGAGCTCTCTTCTCGAATCCAGAAGCGTGCGAACCTGGACAGCAAAGACCTGCCCAGCACTGTCCACGACCCTTCTTCGAAACCGCGGCCCCCAGAGAAGTCGGCGTTCAAAGAGAGAGCACTCTCCCCGCCAGGAATGAGCGTGCGCAAAAGATCTCGGATCCAACCACCGAAGCCCCTCACATCCACACTCTCCCTCCGCTCAACTACATCTTTCCTAAGAGCCGCCTCCAAGATCTGAGGGTCGGTCACACGCAGTAGGAGCAGCTTTGAGGGGAGGAGGAGCAGTCGCCAGGCCAGGTCTTCCGCCTCGGCTCTGATCAACGCCGCTTGTACCGCTTCTGCCTGGGAGCAATAACCGGGGTCGTCTACTTCTTGTCCTCCTTCCGCGTCTCCTAAATGCGGCTGATCTCCTGTCTCTGGGTGGTTAAGGCTGGAGGGGACGTCTGGTACAGGGCAAGTCTCTGTTAGGACAGGGGGTCTGGATTGGGGCGCAAGGCATTGGGAAGTCCCCTCACTCACTCCCCCATTTTCCGCAACTAGAAACCTCGCCGACCCGCTCTTTTTTTGTGCAGAATGTTCCACGACAGCACCAGCATGGCTATTAAGGGTCCTACTTTTGGAGCTTATCACTGCAGTCTCGCAGCCCCCCTGGAAAGGAGCGATTCCCCTCAAACAGCTGCCGCTGCAAGCCGTTTGCCCCCCAAGCACGCTTCCGTTCTGCCACCGCACAGCGTCCCCCCCCAAGCGCACCCCCGCTTTTCCCCCCCCGCACCGATCGTAGAGTACGATCACTTCCTCTGTTTCCTGCAACACCCCCCTCCATTCTTTAAAGCTACCGATTGTCCGAATCGGCACATCCTCCCGCCGCATTTTCATCACCGACTCGAGCGCCTCGAGAAGGGGCCGTGCGACCAGCTTGAAAGGGTAGCTTATGGCCCTGCCGCGTAAGTATACCGTCACAGCGGGCCACTGCCGGTGTAGGCCGTGGCTGGCTGCCAGCTGGGGCTCTTTGTGGCCGTTGATCTTGCACAGGCGCAATCCCGGCCATCGATCTGGGTCCGCCTGGAGCATCTGCTCGATGTCGCGGGTGAACTTCCTTGAGAGACCGCACCCTGTCGGAAGCAAAACGAACGGGGTTTTGTTTGGAAAGAAAGGATGCCCCATAGCTTTTCAGAGTACGAGATGATGGTTGTACTTCTTGAAAGTAGAACACCATAAATATGCTCGCAGTCTACAAGACATTTAAGCAGTCAGGATGCGAGACCCAACTCTTCCTATGGAAAGTCCAGGAGTCAGAAGAAACATCAATACTCTGCCACAATGGAAGAAACAAGACACTTTATAGCTCAGGATGACAGGAAAGAGGTCATTTCAAATATCCTTCCGGTCTTTATTGGCACATTCATACCAAGGAAGCTTTATTGTTGGCACAGCTCTGCGGAAGCTGCAAAGTAAAACAGTCCCTAGAAGGCACAACCCTTACATGGCACTTGAGCAACGCAGAGCGCATACTCCTCTTCTCTCACAAGCGCTGTTAGCTCCTCCTTTGAAACCCATTCAAACCTAGGAGCAGTCTCCCCTGATACTCCTCTGCTCGAGTTCTGCTCCACAGCATGGGCAGCATCTGGCGCGACAGCATCGCATCTGATCAGCGCCAATAGCAAAAGGCCAAATACTCTACACACCACACCCTGCCGCAAGCGGCACGCGTCAGCCATCGCTCAGCTTTGCAGCGTCTTCCATGCGTTCCTGCCCTTGCTCGATCCACAATTACCTAAGCACATGTCATTGTTCCTGGCTATGCACTGCAATGTGTGCCAACTTTCTTCAGTTAGCTAGACAACTGGCAACGTTTCGGACGCTCATAGGATGCCCAGGCGGGCCGTCCGCCGGTCACTAGCAGCCTATTAAATATGTCTGCGATACTAGTGGCAACTAGTCACAACTAGTGGCAATGATTTTGCTGTCCGCAATGTCCGAAGGATTTGCCAAACCTTCCAAAGCCTCGGCGACCGCTGGCGCACGTGGCGCGCGGCCGCGAGCTGCCAGTGACGGCCGATCGAACCGCGGCTTCCGATCGGTAGCTTAGGGGTTCTCCAGACTGGAACACTAGTAGGATGCCAACAAGCACAAGCTTGTTGACCACAACTTTATTATCGCTTTCGTAATCATACGGCACGAACCTGCACGAACCTTGGTGTGCGCGCCGGGTGGACTGGCAAGTCCTCTGGAAGAGCATGTAAAACAGACCCATCATTGTTTGATAATTAGTTTTGAAGTCAGGAAACCTCCGACAAGCTTACATACTGCAGTTTTTGCTTAAATTAACCACAGTTCCATCAGTGTCTAGATAGGAGCTCATCACCACATTACTAAAACTAGTGCTTCTCGCAAGATACTGGAAACAAGGGCCAAAAACACACAAGTTGTTTAATACTTTGATTCCTCCGGCTGTCCTCCGTCCTTCATTTCAGATACTTTTACGTCACGGTAACGCAACCTGCCTTTTTTTCCAGCGCATGGCTACTGATTGACGCCTCAAATGAGAAGGACTCTGACTACTTGAGCTGTAAAGGATAAACGGAGCTCCAAAGAGATTCTTAAGTTGAAACAAAAGACGCAACCGTTCAACAGATGATGGGGGAAGGTCGCGTGCTGATCTGAGATGGCAAGGAATCACCGAGCGAGGTTGAATCACAGGGCTTTGCATAGCTTGCCGGTGAACAGTGGTGTCAAGCCGGGCGCTTATCCGCAGCCTCGCTTCTGGACGTATCTAACAGTGGAAGACAGGAGCCGCTTGGATCTCCAAAGTTTCTTCCAAGGGAAGTCATATGCTGCGCGAATCGTCCAGGACAAGTATGGGTACACGCTTATGATGGGAGAGCTATCATGGGTGCTCATGACCAGACCAACCAAAGAGGAGGTGCGTCCTTGTCTTACTTCACTTGCGCTGACTCGTTGTTTGACAGAGTTGGTCATCAGGATTTTGCTATGTTTTAAAGTCTTACAGTATTGAAATAATGTCCTTGGCCATCATGTCACTGACTCTATGCAGTGCGCCCCTCGATCCGATTTTCCATTCGTTACGCACATAGCAAATATGTGGAAACTTCGAAAGCACAATCAACACACTTCTTTCGGTGCTTCGTTTTGCACCTGGCTGCGCACTCTCTTCAACCCACAATCTGTAACGATCGAAGTTTGGAGAATTTCAGGTCAACATTTCACGGGCAAGATATTGCTGAAACCTTCATGCTCGTCATTGAACTCAAGAAAGATACTAATAAGCCGCAATTATATCAGGGTAACCGCACTGGGACGGGTAGGGTTAGCTTGGTGGTTACGGTGGGTATGGGTGCGGAGCAGGTATCTTTTAGGTTATAGTCTTTAGTGTTAGTCGGAGCTCACTATTATCTTGGATTATGATTCTTTTCTTGAGAATTATCTCCTCGTCTGCTTCCCGCAGTGTGTAATGCGCATCCGCCATTACCTGCCAGACCTTCTGAGGCAGCACTTTGAGCATGGCTCCGTTCCCCCTGTTCCCAGCCTCAGCTACGATGAGTGCCGCAGCAGGCCTTATTCTGATGACGAAAGCGAGTTCAGGATCGTCGAGGATATCTGGATAATGGTGGATTTCTCCCTCCCGTAAGTTCCTCCGCTAGCAGTCGCTCACTTGACAATTGAAGTGGAAATATCAAACGAATTTCTTCTCTGCTGTGAGGCTGCCGTGTCGATCCACTGGCCCTAAGTAAGAGACTTTACTTGCCACCCGCCTATTTCCGTTGTATATTTCCCTGACAATTAGATTGTCCTGCAATTCTGCTAACAGGCCGGTAGCATGTAAGTCGATCTAGTTGTTATTGAATAGAGTATAGGTCCTATGTACGTCGGACTCAAATGAATCTCACTTTTCGCATACTACTTGCATGCAGAGGCGAAGAGGAAGCCATGAAGGACTTCCGAGCGCCAAGTAGCAACCAATCAAGGGTAGCTGGGACTTGATATCATAAACGCGTGCAACTGGAGTAGCTAGTGGTCTTACTAAGTCTATCTTATTCTGGCACAACACTTCAATAAAGCTTGCTAGCTGAGATATTTCCATGGCTAGATTCGAGAAGCACAGATTTGAATGTCCCTATCAATACTGATGACTGGATTCGACGTTCTAACGTGTGTCATGAAACGCAAACGAGGTATATACCCGCCGCTCAGTGCGATGCGTCATGCTTGTGTTGATATACGCCACGCGTTGTTACGCAGTCAGGCATGCCAGTGCATGTGTCACGGTTTGACTGAGGATGTACACCATTGAATTACTAGAGCGCGTACGGTCGGGAATTCAATTTTGCATCCACATATAACATTCATGCAAGTCAACGCCACAATCTGAACCATCATTGGGCCACGAATGAGTTCGAAGCACAGGTGTCACAGTGCGGCCAGGACGTTGGAAAGCGCGGTCTATAGTGATTAGATTGAAACTCGAAGCTCACCGTGCTTCATGAGGTTGGACAAGGTAGCTCTAAATCAAAGCCCGAATCATCAGTATTCCCAAAGTATATAACCAAGTACAATGCGCACAGCCACGTATCGCCTCCGCTTCTTATGCACCACCGGCGTCCGTCGAATGTTCCATTGAGTCTTGGCCGCATGAGGAGAAAATGCTTGATCAAGCACATAAGGGGTGGCCCCTGTGATGCAGGCTGCATAATGCTGAGAAGCAACAGCACATACGCGAACACCTCAACCCTGCAGTAGCAGACTTCGACTTGCTACGGCCACTGTTCCCGTGTCGTTCTTCACAAAAGTTGAGGGTGACTAAGGACATGCACTGCGCATTTGTGCTTTGATTAAGCATTAGGAGTCTGCGGAACGGTCCAGGTTCATGAAGGAGTCGAGGCCCTTCGACATCTCCATTAGACACTCGAAGGCGTCCTGCGCCTCTTTCTCGGGGGGAAGCCCCAGCAGGCTTTTCAACTGCACGGGAAAAAGATGAGCAAAATCAGCAAGGTCAGCACTGACTCCAGACTCCAGCTACGAAATCAAGCGTTTGGGCAGAGCCTTCCTTTCGTGACCAGTTCGCAGGTCGGAGACAGACTTCATGCATTGAAGTCTTGGATTCCAACACTTGTTACTTTCGAAAACGAAAAGTGGTTCGAACCACTTGGGTTTGAAACAACGAAACAGAACTCCCTCGATGGCAATGGTTGTTGGCACGCTCCGCTTTTAGTGTCCGGCTCTTCATCCGTATGCCCACAGCTCTAAGCGGCCGCAAAACGAGTTCTTGATGTAGCGCTAGACTCGAGGCTACTTAGATTCGAGGTTGTTTGTGCAGCAAAGAGGATGGGACAAAAGTGTCGTTTCGAAATCTATAAGATTCGGGCAGATTGAGACCGAACTCGAAAGTGAGAGCGCAACCCGTTCGCTCTCATCGCCAATGATCTTAAGAAGCCTCGCCAGGGCTTTCAAAGGCAAAGAACAGGCACTACCTTGATGTCCGCCGCCTTGAATCGAATCAGTCCAGAGCACCTTACGTAACAAGGCAACGAGACCTGTACTTTTTGTTTGTAACTCCAACATCGGGACTCGCAGATTGCTGCTCACAAGGGAGCCGGCGGAGCCCTCTTTGAAAACAAGGTTGTCCTTGCTTCCACCACGTTCTGTCAGATCGATCCGAGCGACACGCCTCGAATTCTATTGAGCATTCTTAACATTGTTTGCTGCTCACCAGGAGGCCGGCGGAGCTCTCATTGTAGTGAGGTCGTTCCCTCTTCTTCTAATTCTTCTAAACAAAGAAACGGCTCCAAAGCCATGCATTCTGGTTTAGACCTCTTAATAATTGACACCAAAAGTTTTCCGCTCACCAAGAAGCCGGCGGAGCCCTCCTTGTAGATTAAAGGGTTGTTTTCGCATCCACCTCTTCTTACCACTCAGAATAACACACCGCGAAGTCCGATTGAGCATTCTTAGAACCGATCTCATGGTTTTTTGCTCACCAAGAAGCCGGCGGAGCCCTCCTTGTAGATGAGGTTGTTCTTGATGTCCACCGCCTTCTCCTCGTCGATGGCGTCGAACAGCATCTGGAACGCGCCGATGGACATGCTCGTCTCGAAGAGGATGAACTTCGGACGCGTCCGGATGCGCGTGATGCCCAGGTCCGCAGCCAGCCGCTTCATGACCAGCATTTGGAGCCGCCGCTGTGAGGAAAGAGAGCGAGGTGACGTCAGCACTTCGTAGTAAATCACGTCAGTTGTGAGAGGTACAGCAGTGACAGGTATGCCCAGGTCCGCGGCCAGCCGCTTCATGACCAGCATCTGCAGCGGCCGCTGTGAAATACATCAAAGTGTCGTCAGCAGTTCGCCATGAATGATGTCAGCAACTTGATATCAAATGACGTCAGCAGTCGGTGCTGATGAGGCGAGCCACCACAGATTATCACACGACCCCTATCTGCAGCCGCTGCTGTGGAAGAGGGGAGGCCAATCCGATCTCGCGGATTAGTAGGTTGACGTTGACTGGTGCAAGCTTGAAAACGTGGGTTCGAGCGAAATTCAGTGTGGAAAATGCGTCACAGACTGGTAACTGACAAAGAGTACCTTGTTGACATGGCGACTTGTCACTGCAAAAAATTGATAGCGCTGCGAAGCGAAGGCTAAGAGAAACGAGAGTCCTGGTATGACGTTCGTCAGTCCGGAACTACGTCAGATCCCTTTATGAGAAGGGCAGCGCGACCAAAGCGCTTGCTAAGCAACTGCGACCAGACCGAACAGAGCGTGTATGAGCAGCATCGCCTCTGTCCAGATAGCAAAAGTCCGTCCCCCCCAATTGCACAATTGCGAACCGGACAAAGTGAGTCTTAACTCTAGCACGAACGTGTTTCATACGACGTCACCCCCGTTTCAGATGACGTCAGCCAGCACGGTGCCCCCCAAGCAGGTCCGAACAGCATTCAGTCGAGGAGCAGTAAGCGTTGAGAAAAGTCAGATTACCAACTTGGGACGGGTGGGCTGATTTAGGGATTTGGGTACGTAGGGGCATAAAGCAGGTACTCTCAAGTGTTAAGGATTTAGTGTTGGGTTAGGAACTCACTGTTCTTATGGATTACAATTCTAAAGCTCACTACCCCGGAAACAAAGGGAAAGAAGTCCGTACCTTGGCTCCCGGCGGCGGCGGCCCCAGGCGCTCCTCCATTTCTAGATAGAAGTCGTTCGCCGACTCGACGCCACCCCGCGCCGCTTTCTCCATGTCTTTCAGGAACTGGTCGCGCCCCTCGGTGCAGTCGATGTAATCGTGGGGAACCAACGTATCCACCACGAAGTCGACCTGCAGAAGTGCAAAGTTGTTTTCAGAATCTTTTCGTCGGTGGAGTCATTCAAGGTCAATAAAGTCCGCCGAGGAACTGGAATGCGAGGCAGAACTTGAACTGCCCTCCAGAGCGCTCGAAAGTGCGACACCCGTACGAGCTTGCATCGGCCGCCCAGATTTCCGTCCCATCCACAAAGATGATGGCAAGATTTGCAATCGGAATTCGACGTTTTCTGTATCCTTCTTCGTTGTTGAGACGTATCTTCGGTTTGTTACAATACTTAGCGATATCACAAAGTCAATTCGAATCTTCGTACTGAAGACTGTCCCTCAATCCTGGATCTCAAGCAACCGAGCTTCCTTGCAAGTAAACGAAGCCACCACGCATGATTTTGTCTATTCCTGTAAATAAGGAAGGAGTGGGAGGAGATCGCACACAGTGTCCAGAAGTAAAAGCTGACGTACGAACTTCTCACCTTGACGTCATCAAAGTGCACTTTGGGCAGCGTTTCCGTCTGTGCCCGGTACAGCGAGTCGAACAGCATCTCGTTAAATAGGTCCGCGCCAATCTCCGTTGACAGCTTCCCGCTCTGCTTTTCCCCGAACACCTCCCCTGTGCCTCGGATCGTCAAATCGCGTTGCGCCACGTGGACACCGGCGCCCAGGTCCACGCACTCCTCCAGCGCTTGCAGCCGTAACTGCAGGAAGGAACGAAAGATGAGAATGAAATCAACGATCTTCATTCTCAATAACGACAATCATTGACGCTCGATGCGAAACGTCGACGAGAATCTGCAGATGCAAACTCGTAAAGTTTTCAAAGCTGAGCACAAACTCAGGAGAGGAATCTTCAAGCTCCAAATGAGGACTTGGCAATGCAAAGCTTTCAGAATCACTTGCACAGGCGGACTGCCTGATGCTCAAACCCCCCGTTTTACCGTTTTGTGTCGGAGCTTTTTTCACAGCCGCTACGTAATCACCTTTGTATGTCAGCACCCTCTTGAGATTTAAAGACCCAGTCGCTCGCACTCCTGATGCTCATAAAGCGCAAACATGTAGTCACGAACAACTCCTCACGGTTCCAGACGCTTGGAGCACGCTTTCCCTGATCTTGAAACTCACGATTGAAGACACAACGGCATCCGACGGCTCAAGAAATATCGCAAATATCGGTTCAAATCTTCGAGTGGCAAGGTGAGCTGTATGCAAATGCCACGTACCTCGGCCGGCGGGCTGAGTTCTTCTCTGTTCCCCACGGAATACAACAGGTACGCATGCGCCTCCACGTTTGACCGCCCCACGCGCCCCCGCAGCTGGTAGATTTGGGCGAGCCCAAACTTTTCGACTTCCGTAATAATGATTGTGTTGCAGTTGGGGATGTCCAGCCCGCTTTCGACGATGCTCGTACAGAGCAAGATCTGCGTCTGGCCCGCACGGAAGGCGCGCATCGCCCGCTCGAGCTCGGGGCCCGACATCTGGCGCAAGAGGGAACACGTGTCAGCTCGGCGAGGACATATGGTAATTTGCGCGAGGGGCACTTGCTAGGGTGCAGAACTATGCGAAGCTCAGGACTTGCAGAACTTTTGGAGTCTCGCTGACAACTACAACTAGGCAAATTAGTTCTTGGATCTCTAACCCCTGGCAGCTCCTTTCCTGCCAAACGCAAACGCAAAGACTCATGTATCTCAATTCAAGGGGACTTGCAGCAATACTTCCGAAGTGGGTCAATAGCAGCGTAACATCTCTGTCTGATTGAATCGGCGGTCGTTACAGGTAAATAGGAAAAAGCAACCGTATGGCCGCTTGATGAGCCAAAAAGATTGGTCTCCATCCCAAGAGCGAGTCCCGAAGGCTGCAGGTTTCTCCCTCGCTCTTCAAGAGATTAGCGGCCGTCCCCCAAGATGATTGCGAGGTCTGCTACATCCCTGCAACGAATCCAAGTGCAAGATGACGTGGCACGCCCGCTCACCTGGCCGTGCGCCATGTCCACTGTGACGTCAGGCATCTTCCGTTTGAGCTCTTCTTGGACATCCATGATGCTCTGCGAGTATACGGTCTTCCCGCCTGCGAACAACCGAGCAACCATCAGGATCTCGGACTGACATAGTGAGGAGCTGGCTGCTTTTCGAATCTTCTGAGAATTGGCACAGTCCGAACGGCGTTGTCCGTCATCCCAACAATGCATTGTGTGCCTGCATTTGACGAACTTGAGAGTGCATTCGCAACCCACCCAGTAATGGAAAGCTTTCCTCCCTCTGCGACTTTTGCAGAGGGAGGAGAAGCAGGCCAAGTTTTTTATCTAATCAGCAACGCTTACCGTGTATTCTCGGCACGATGTAATAGACCTGCCCCCCTCGTTCTAGCTCCTGTTCGATCGCCCACTCGACTAGCTTCTCGTCGAATTGCTGCAGGTGCGTCTTGATTGGTCGCCGCGAAGGGGGAGGAGTCGTGATGAGACTGCAGAACGAATGAAGCCGACGTCAGCATGAGAGCGCAAACATAATCAAGTTATCGGCTCTGACGTCAAATAGTCTCGGTGGCACTCACTACGGCCGGAATCAGACTTTTGGGGCACTGGATGATTGCCGGGAGGGACCTTTCCATAGCTGAAACGCAAAATCGCTGACTGGGGAGAAAGGCCTGGCTCAAAGAGCGGTCAATGGTAACACAGCAAGAGCTGCTTCGCACGTTGAAATACAGTCCGACGCTACGATTACGAGCCCAGCATGACACTCCAGACTAACTAGACGGAGGAACGGGGAGAAACGAAAGCAAGAAGAAGAAATACAGGCAGACACGGAAAGCCCCTCGCTTTTTGCTTACCTGAGGTCCTTGAGGCCTCGTGTAGCCTGCTCCAACGTCCGGGGAATCGGCGTTGCCGACAGCGTCAGCACGTCAATCTCAGTCTTCATATTCTTCATTTTCTCCTTCTGCCGCACGCCAAACCTCTGCAAATGAATGGAAGCGGTGAGTTTGAGAGCAACCTGCGTAAACTAGCGCAAGAAGTTGACCCTGAGAGTGGCCGTTGCTACAACCGTTGGTATGAGCTGGTTATAGAAGCACTGAATGCCCTTCCTGATTGAGAAACAGGGCGCCACACCACGCAACTGCCTAAAGGAAACTTGGCCCAACGTCACCGTTCTCATTTTCGTTTTTTGCGACCCCGTGTACTCATACAACAGATTGAGCCTCTCTAGTATGGTAACACCAGGTTACCCGATCGGGTTACGGTGTATCCTTCAACCGACGCTCTCTCGCAACCGTGCGTACAACCGTTGAACATCCACGACAGAGAAACTCCCGTTTGAACAACCCGAAATATCAGCATCCCCTCACACCTCCATTCAACATCCGGAAACAAGAGAATGAGAGGCCCTGCCAAATTTTACCAACTCCTCCATTATCCTCCGTCCTTGAAGGGCACATTGTACGGCAGCACCGCCGCACCTTTCAGTCCCAGAATATCAGCGCAGAAAATGTCGAATGCTGAACATGAAGAGACCCCGCAAAAGGCGAGAGCCGCGCCTGCTCTCTGTCCACAACAAGCAGTCAAAGTTCTCAATAAATCGCGCTCTACAGCAGCAGCGCAGCAAACTTATTACCCCTGCGGAGATGAGAACTTCGAGTCTGAAACCTAAGGAGACCCCAAACCAGCAATCCATTGCCGGCTCCTCCTTGACCACAAATGGTCCAACGTTTTCGAAGCGCGCGCTAGAAGCAGGAACGCAGCGACTACTAGTCTGATATCCCAAGCGCTGGGAACGTCGAAGTTCGAACGTAAGAGAAGGTCACTTCTCAAGAAAAACAAAACCCTAAAAATTCAAAATCAGCATGAATCCCACCTGCTCCTCGTCGACCACGAGCAGTCCGAGGTCCTTGAAGCGCACGCTCTCGCCCAGCAGGGCGTGCGTCCCGACCGCCACGTCCACCTAGCCAAATCCGGAAACAATCAGCCAGGTTAAGAAGAAGGCTTTTCTGGCAGACCTTAGATTATGGCGGCGTTGAAAAAACTATCCCCGTTTGAGCAAGCAAATTCAGAACACTACCCAACTCAGCAAGGTGCATGCAATAGGGCACTAATGTATGGGGGACGAGAAGCTGATTCGGAGGCCAGGGAAAATAGCAGATCAGACGGCCGGAATGCGACGTGGACAGCCAGGGGGTAAAACACCCTGTGTCTATCTGCAAGGAGTGGCAATGAAAACCCGACTTCAAAGACGCAGCAAAGCAGCAATCAATTCTCAGAACGAAGTGGTCCGACTGATCTGCAGAATCAAGCGTGGGAGTCAAAAGCCACTCACCTCCCCGTTCGCAATGCCCTCCAGCCCCGCCCGCTTCTCCTTCTCCCCCGCCAGCCGGCTGAGCATCGTAACGGTGATCTCGGGGAAGTCCTTGAACCGCTCACGGATGACGTCATAGTGCTGCTTCGCGAGGACCGTCGTAGGGGCGAGGACCGCGACCTGCGAGAGCGACGAGCGAGGAAATGACGTCAGATACGTGTTGACTTAACCTGAGACATAAAAGCCCTTGTACGGGCGCGGCCCGGGCCCAATCGAGCTTTTGTAAACAAAGCTTCACCGCTTAAAGGGACAGTGTACTGAGATTGCAGGACAAGTCTTAGAGGCTCGAGAAGATCAAGGCTCGGTTAAGGACGTGCCCGACCCGAGAAGCATCGGGACTCCGTGCGATCCAATCAATCGGGAGTTCCTACAGGTCGATGTCAAGTGGAGGTCCGGTGTAACGACGTCAGACAAGTTTTCCATCATAAGATTTAAACCTAAAGTACTTGAGAGGCAGAATATGCGACTGGACCGTTTAAATATGGAAAGTTGTGCGGTTTTGCAAGAAGAACAGGGCTAAACGAGTCCGAGCTTGAAGCTTGCCAGCAGCTCTTTGCACTTCTTTGCAGCAGCCTGACCATATTCACATGACCAAACAGAAGACAGACTGCTTAAGCTGTCTCCTCAACCAAACAGCTCCTCATTTCTCAAACATCGAAACCGATTCATATAGGAGACAAAACAGACCTCCTGATTAACAAGCTCAACGATCATCGAACTCAACAAATAACCACAGCCGACGTACATACCTGGCGACCCGCATTGGCGGCCCGGAACACGGCCCGCAGCGCAACCTCCGTCTTGCCAAAGCCGACATCACCGCACACAATGCGATCCATCGGCACCCTTCTGTTGCACATGTCGTCGCGCACCGCGTCAAATGCCTGGAGGGATGAAAGTCAACTGACTTAACCAACTTATAAAACTTGCTCGATCACTCGCTTGACTTATTTGCTAACCAGAGTGGTTTGCAGTTCTTGAATTGACAAGCTCTGGCAGCGAGCTGAGCAAGCGCTTAGGAATCCCGTCTACGCGCCAGTAAATATGGGGAAGCGAGAATCGCACTCGCAGGCGAGAAGCCGCCATGTCTCGCATTTTCGGCTCAAGCCGATTCTGTCGCCACCATAAGTCGTTTGGATCGCTTGGACTGGGCGTGGTACGTGCACGTCGTTTGCTGATTCCACGTGAAGCTTAAATTGCCGCCAGTAGACCTGACCATCAAAAAATTTGTCACCTCCGGCGGTTTCATCTGACATCCGTTGCATCCCCCAAGACCCACTTCAACGGGCAAGAAACTCGGCTGCAGCCACGCCCAAAGCAGCCTTCACAGCAAAACCATCCTCCCCTGGAAAATGGGGTGAAAGTGGTCAAACACACAATGTTGCATGCGGGAAAACGCTACATCTCTGGATTTCTAAGGTTGGACAAGTACGCAGTCAAGATCAGTGTGCCCCCACCTGTTGCTGGTGCTCTGTCGGCTCGTAGCTGAACGTGGACTCGAAGCGCGCCTGCGCCTCGCCGTCGGGCGGGTACGGCGATCGCGAGACGGCAGCTCGGAGGCGGTACAGCTTCAGAATGTTGATGACCATCTTTTGAATGTGAGCACGCCCCTTCGACTTGCGCCGCTCCCATGCGCGCCGGTCCTTTAGCTTACTCAGACCCGGCTCCTTGCCCTCAAGACCGGGACTGAAAGGGGAGGAGAGAAAGCTAATGATGGAGGAAAACACTCGAAAGGATTCAAAACAGAACGGTCGACAGCTTGTCGAATTGAATTGTCGAGGTTGAGGCGGGGGGAAAGTAAGGCAGAAGGAAAACGTGTCACATTACGAGAAACTCTCGGCGAAAGATTTGGTAGGGCCTTCTGCTACCTTTGCGTGTCTAAGTAATCCCGACTCTTTCCTTGCCTTAAGCCCCACGATATTTGAGGCTCTTTGACAGTCGGCTGCCATAGTGTCTCTCCTTTCGCAAGCGGCTTTCAGGCCCAGCATCGGCAGAGCGTCCCAAAAAACTCGTGCGAGCTGATTCCGCTCAGCTTTACCGATCGTAAGTGCCTTTATTAGCAGAAAGGGTCTGTAAATCACACTATAACGAAGTGCAACCCCAAAAAATGAAGCGTTCAACTAGAGGGTCGGCTTAGCCCACCCACAGAAGTAGACACGTTTGGTGCCCAACAGCTTGGCCAACATTCTCCGCAAACAGCGCCTTCTGAACCTTCACGAGGCTTGGCCTAACCAAGCAAAAAGAACTGACTGGACCAAACTAAGAAGATTAGAAGGGTTAGCCTAAAACCCACCTACGGTACCGATAGAGCAGCCGGTGCGCCTGATGCGCCGGCAGCTTCGCTAACCCGTCCGCATACTCCAAATACACAAACAAAACCGGTTGTGCGCGGCCCTCCACCTTCTCCGTTCGCAGCTCCCGGAACCGCCCAATCCCCACGCGCTTATGCACGACAAGCTCCCCCCGGACTAATCGGTGCGGGTCAATCGAGTTGTCGATCTCGCCGTCGGCACCCGCGTTTCCCGAAACCACCGCCAAACCCTGGCGCAGCTTTTCCTTAACGAAGCTAGCCGGAGACTTTGGGGTTCGGGAGCGGGGCTCAGGCGCTTTCCGGGTCGGTTTTGGCGGAGGCAGGAGCGGCTTTGACGGGACGGGGGCGTTTGCTGACCGGGAGGGGGGCAATCCGTACCCAACCTCTGTTTCGGGGGGGTCCGAGTCCTCCTCCGAGTCCCCCCCAATCTCGTCATAGATGCCTTCCCTGGCGCTTGTGCTCGACAGCATCTCCACCTTCTCATGCCCGTTTTGGGACGAGTCATCCAAAAGGATGTCAGAAAAACCGTCGCTCTCCTCGCCCGAGCTGCGCAGACCGTCCGTTTCGGCATCACTGCTCACAGCCTCCTTTACTGGCCTCCGCCTCCGCCGGACCGGTTTCCTTTGCCCGTTTACACCAGTCTTCAGCCCCTCAACTTCACCATCTAACTCCGACTGTTTCCCTCCCCTTACGAACGCCTCGCTTTCGTCTTCCGAATCCGTCTCCACCGCTTTCCGCCTCCGCACAGCCCTTTTTCGCCCGTTCACTCCAGACTCAGTAGCGATAGCCCCATTCACACTGACACGATTCACATCAGCGCCAACTCCTTTGGCCCCATTCGCACCCGCCCCATTTGCGGTCCCAACGGCCGCCAGTGCCTCACTGTCTGAGTCCGAAGCTCCCAACTCCCCACTCGCATCTGCCGGCTGATCCCCCGGCTTGGCATCTTCGACGAGCTTACTCGTTCTCTTCCGCCGCACCACACTTCTCTTTGCCGTGCTCTCATTCCCTGCAGTGGTGGCGCGCCTCCTCCTCTTTGGGGCGCCGTTCACATCAACCCCATTCACACCACCCTCAATCGCACCTTCAAAACCTCCCCCATTCGCACTACCACTTCCATGCAATCCTGAAGTCGCTCCCTTGACTTCCTCCCTCATTGTCAATGACCGTTCAGACGGCACCCCTTCCTCTTCATCGATCACCGTCCGCCTACTACGAACCCGGCGAGGCCCGTTTCCTACGTCCACCCCTCCAGCAATCTCTTGCAAGGCCCTAAAATCTACTTCCGCCGGCGACTCAAACGTCGCTGTCTTTCTGGCTGCCGAAGCTCGACAACTTCTCGGTGCCTTTTCCCCCCTCTCACCCCATCCTGGAAACGCTACACCTGCAAGCCTAGATTCTCTTTGTGAAAAAGCACTACAACGCTGAAGCCCTAACCCGCGGTGGTTTACATAACCCTGCTGGCTGGCTGAAGGCCTGGTAGAGGCAGAGGTGCTAGGGGGACCAGTGTCGGCCAATCGGCCCGCCATATCAGGCCGCTCGGTCTCTGCCCCATCTAGTTTCTCCTCTTTTCGTCCCCACTCTTTAAAGGAATCTGATTCCCAAGTTCCTTGCACTGGTGCTAAACAAGAAAGTATCTTTCTAGGGTTTGGAACCCGAGCTCGACACCCTAACCTGGTCGCAGGAAGCAGAGTCGCTTCCAAGGAGCGCCTTCCTCTTGCCAAAAAAGGTAGAGGCCGAAAACCAGCAAAGGAACATCCTTGCAGTAAGGAACTACTTCTTGTCAGGGGCGACTGGTAACAGTGCCACGTTTTCTGATTGGCAAGCAACGGAACACTAGAAAAACCAGTCCGGCGCTCCGTGTGTGCACTTGACAGCAATGCTGTGGCAACCGGCGAAGACAAAGGGATCTGCGCTGACGATGCAGCCATCACGCCACCACCTCAACTTCTAGCAGCCTGGCCGGCAAAGCTCAGGCCACCCTCTTCAACGCTCCCTAGCTGCACCTCTCTCCCTCGGATGCTTTGCAGGTGCAATCTTCAAGTTCAAGAGACGTCCTGCCTGGACGTCCAATCCGAAGTGAGCTTCCTTTCGAAGATATTGAAGTGCATTTCGAGCAGCAGGATGTGAATCCTCCGTTCTGGACCATAAGAGACTTGAATGACCGTAGATCCAAAACTACATGGCAAGATTGAACGGCACTGCCTCTTCTAGCTCAATGTCAGCCTGGAAACGATGCGGCCATGAACACTGCCCTTTCGCTATTCAACTGCTGTAGAGCTGCTCTCTGGAGATCAGAATCAGCATTGCCAATTTTCGACCTGAACTCCTGGCATCCACGCTCTCAGACTCTAGTCCTAGCTCCCTGGTCCAGCGCATCAGTGATCACCATGAAGGCTGCCCTTGTAATCCTCGTCCTCGCCGGCCTCCTCATCGCAGTCCCTCAAGAGGTTGGGGCATCCTCTGATGAGGCGCTCCAGTTTGTCAAGCAGTTTATTGCGGAACACCCGATCGCAATGTTCAGCAAGTCCTACTGCCCGTAAGCTTCCTCTTCATCACATTTTAGACTTTGGGTTGGGTTTTGCCTTGAAATGTTAGAAACGATGCGACCTGAGCATGCAACTCGATTGCAGTTTAGATTGCTGGAGGTTCCAATCCTGCGTACTGGGTGTCTCTGGGGCTTGGCAAGCCTCTTAACTGGCTATTTCACTCTGACCTGAATCACCTCTGATCACGCTCACAAAGGCCGGAGAAGCTGGAGAGCAGAGGAGACCATGGTGTAACGCATCATACACGCTTTAGGTTGGGGACGAACAACTTTGCCGTTTCAGCATGAAGTTTTCCTTCTGATCATCCAAGAATACCTGCACAGCATCTTCCAGTAGGTCACAAAGTGTCGCTGTCTTTGGACATGGAATTCACCTGCCCCTCGACAACCAGACACACGGGATTGAATTCCAATCCAAGGTTTCAACGTGGATAGCATTTTCACAATTGAGTGGGCTTGTCATGGCAGGTACTGTGCGAGGGCGAAGCAGGCGTTCAAGGCTCTAGGGCCCGATGCTGAGCCGGCAGTGGTGGAACTGGACGGCAGAGGTGAGAGCAGGTTGACCCAGAAAAGCCTCGAGCGTAGATCAACTCAAACATCGATTCATTTTGCAGGTGGTGACCACAAGGCAATTGAAGTTAGAATGTCGGTTTAGCCTGCAAGGGGCACAATGGTGCATGTTTCGTTGTGTTGTAACTGAATAATCTGTATGTTGGCGACTTCTCATCAATTCAGTTTCGTACTTGCACTGGGTTGATTTGGCCCTGTTGGTTTTGTATGTGACCTAGTTCTCTGTTCCAGATCAGGCAAAGAGTCCGCCTAAGCAGGCGGAGTTGTGGAGACCCATTCGATCCCTGGTTGAATCTTGAATTGTACATTGACCTCCTTTCCAGTTTCTAGCAAGCGTTTCTCTTGGCAAACATGGGCGAAGAAGCTGATCTTTCGAGTGATCTAAAGCTTCTGCTTTGCGTGCTCTTGATTCTCATTAATTGGGGACTGGTCTTGATGCTCTTCACATCTGTCACAGAGGATGGTTACGCGATCCAGGATGCACTTGGGGAACTTGTAGGCCGGCGCTCCGTTCCTCAAGTCTTTATTGATGGCTTTCATATTGGTGGCTCTGATGGTAAGTTTTTTCAACCCCTTACACTTGCAGTTTCTTGTATCAAAGCTGTCTTCGAGATAAATGTGCTCTTGTGTGTGTGCAAGTAGAAGTCAAGCTCAATAGAACCAATGAAAGAAAGAATACTTGTACTAGAGTATGCTGCTACGTTTAAAGGCATGCATGCTACCTGAAGAATCCAGACGAAAAGTGGGAAGATGATTGACAAGCTTTGAAAGTTGACGGCAGTTGCGGAAAAGATTGGGTTCATGTCTCTTAGTCAAATTGTGGTCTTCACGTTTGCATGCAGATACGGTGGATGCTTATCAAAGTGGTAAGCTTGCCAAGCTAGTGGCAAAGGCTACTGGGAAAGCTGCTTCGGCTTTCAATACCAAGTAATCTTTGAATGTCAAAGAGGGAAGCACTTTTCCTCATATTTTCATCGCAATCGCCATTCATGCAATTGCAAATCCCTGTGTAAGACGACTACTTTACGAAATTTGCACCAGGGCATGAGCGGTTGAATTTGAGGGATAGTTCTTGTCACTCATGTGAATGGTATTCTGATTTCTGCCCATTTCTTTACTGGACAAAGCGAGTGTCAAAACGTGGTGGACGGCCATTATGGCCAATTGCCATGTGACTATACTGTCTTCAGAAGAGCTACAACACCATTGACCGCGTTGGCATTGAGTGCAACCATGGTGCAACGGCTAAGTCGCATTAAATGTACATATAGAGCATACTCGGGAGTAAGGGCGAATTGCATGTACGTGAAAAGTCTGAACTGGCAAGATCGGACTGCAACATTCAGTTTGGATTCTCAAGCAACTTCTTAGTATGAGTTGACGCAGCCTTGATGGTCAAATCGTATGCAAGATTGTGAAATTCTCGAACTATATAGTACCAGTGCGACCATTCCGACAACTTAAGTTAGTGACACATATGTATAGCTTGAGGCCATGGATGTCACTACCGCGGTGGCCACATTGAAGTTCTGGATGTAAAATTCTCAACTATAGCTCGCGCTGTCACTGCTAGTGTAGCCTGCGCGCGCGGGTAAATTTATTGTTACTATGTGGATCGGACAGCTCTAGCTATATAAGCTGTTCAACGTATGCATATATATGGCCGGCTCCAGACGGACTCTGATTTCATATTGGACTCAACTTATTGGTAGTGTCGAATTGACCATCATTGTATTGGTCTATGCATATCATTCATGCAATAATTGCGCAGCCTAAGCATGGCTGCCAAGATAGTCACACACAGGATTGAAAGTGAAGATAAAGATCCCGCAGCCTTGATGGCCCAAGCTCCAAAATTTGGATAATGCATGCAAGAACCTTGTTCCAAGGCCAATGACTGGTGCACTAGATGCCTATCCGCTCCTAGAAAACCTCTCCCTTCACGACTCTATCTGCCTACCAAGCTAGCATGTGTATAATTTCTCGAACCTGCAAATGGCTTGATCGAAACACTCGACAAATTGCATCCACGACGACCTTGCTAAGGGCGCCTCTCAATGCTACTCGACTGGATGCTTATACCTACAGCCTCCGACTATAGAACATGATCTCCTTTGACTCACTGTCACGAGCATGCACAATGCTCAAACCGCAATCTACACGTACCCCACCGTTCCCTACTTTCGAATAAAGATGCGGCTGACCGTCTTGAGGAAGAACGACCACTCCTCGTCCCCTAACAATATCATGTCCCCATCCTTGTCCTGGTAAACCACTAACCGCCCATGAGTTGCATCCAGTAGCGCATTCTTCAGCTGTTGCGTGCTCTTGTACTGACTCAAATCCACGACCACTCCGTACGGCGACTCCTCCACGAAACACTTCACCTGTGGCCGCTGCTCCTCCTCGCTTTCCGGGGGGCCAATTCTCAAGCCAAGACCAGGCCCCTCAACCCCCCCGTCACCATCGCCATCTGGTCGCACATCCTCCTCAACCTTCGGCGTCAGAACCCCAGGTGCGCTCTGCCCCTCCAACCGCTTCCCCACCTCCAGAAACCCGTTCCTCAGCGTCTCCCCCCATAACCGCCGTTCGTCTGGTTGCCGGGCTTCCGCATCCTCCCCCCCCAGCAAACCCCCGAGCCTAGTTTGCCCCTCGCTCAGCACACGACGGACCGAGGCCAGCTGCCTAGCTGTGCCTTCGTTGACCGGCGCACCATCGAACGCCGCTGCGAACCGCCTCTTTGGGCTCAGAGACGCCTTCACCGGAAGCGACCCCGTCCGAAGAAGTTGCCTCGGTACGGAGTCTCCTAGGGACGGGGTCAAGGTCACTCCAAACAACCGGGGGGCGCTCGATGGGGGCCCTGGGGACCCCCCCAGGGGAGCGGAACCGTGGAGCCATGCTCGTTGCGGAAGGCAGGGCTTCTCCTCGTACGCGCTAGACTGTGTGGGAGACGCGCCGAATGGTACGGGCGAAGGGAGGGCGGGGCCCCCCTCCTGCGGATAAGAGTTTGAAGTTTACACCCGGAAACTTCGGCCAGAGTGCAGATTCGTCTTGACTTGCTTCGCGGATGCACTGCTGCTAACACTCCTGCTAACGACTTCGATAGCTGAGTGCCTGATTTGCAGAACAAGGGGGCGCACGAGAAATATCCCACGACTCATCAGCGAATAACCTTTTCGGTCCAACCTCGGGCGTGTCAGCAGCAGTGCATGCTGTCAAGTCTGCACTAGTTGGCAGGTGCAGATCCACAGGACAACCCCAAATCTTAACAGCGATTTCCCGGATCAGTATTTTGGGGAAGACTCTGCAACTGAGTTGACTAGGCTGGTGTCTCGGTCAGAGAAATCTCTTCCAAAGGACTCGAGTCGACATCTGGTATCAGCATGACCGACTAAGAGCAAACTACGAACTGCGAGAGAGGCGGTGATGCAGTGAACTCTCAGGCTTGGCTATTCGCATTGCCTGCAAGACACCACCACTCGGATTCTCCAAAACCCGTTTTCTGACTTTCTGTGTAGTCTATGACCAGCGCTCCTGAAACTTGCATAGCTTATCACTCACCCCGGACTGGGTCCTCGCATAGCCTATGTACAGCTGCCCAGTGTGGCCCTTTTCAAACACAACGTTGTCCCCTGGGAGCAGGCCCTTCTCTTTGACAAAGCGCGACCAACCCTTGGTCAACACGTAGCTCTGGCTGCTGTTCCAGTAGCTGTACCTGCAGAAGCAAAACTTGGACGATTCAACATGGAACCCAAGTGGAAGTGCGTGTTCTCGTAAATGAGAGTGAAACTTGCGGAGTAAATTGCCCACTCTGTCTACTGTTTCAGAAAAGATAGAGTCAGAAATAGCACGGTTGAGTTTGCAGGGTGCTAGAAATGCTGGCGGGAAGGAAACTAGTGAGGTCAGCTTATGTCCAGAAAGGTGTTGACTTTTTTGCTTGGTGGGGTCCCAAATTGGATTGTAGGTGTGCGATTGAGCGGCAGGGAACCCAGTATCAGAGTCAGAATCAAACGTTGAGGTTTTCAAATTCAGTGTGGAGGAGGAATGCTGGTATGCTGATGTATTGGATGGCAGCATTGTCACGCTCATGCTCATAGGATCAGCCGTGCTTCTAATCAAGATAGGCTTGTTCCTTCCTCACAACCACTCCTATGAACCATTCTGTGGGCCTATTCACTCAATAATTTGATTTTGCAACCAGACAATAATATGCTCCTCCACTCAAAATCAGAAGCTCAAAGCGGGTGGCGGAGATGCAGAAACCAGATAATCAGCCTGGAGACTGTTCTTCTCCTTCTGCTGTCGATGCATTGTTTGACTACACACCGGACCCGCAAAGGACAGCGCATGCTCTTGATGTTAGAAATTACAGTGAGAGCAAACTCTCATAACATCTAGGATTCTCCGCACCAAGCCCTGAAGATGCAAGATAATAAGGCAGTATTTCTGTGTGAATCCACTTGCCGGCAGCACTGGTTTGCAGCTGAGCCGATCCCCACAGACAGTACTCGTGTGCCAGCTGCCTGAACCTAAAGCCTTCAATTCATTTTGGTTGCTTTGGTACACTTGGTGGAATTTCAAGACAATCTATCTTGAAGCATCTAATATCGCCAGGTGACGATACCTGATGAATCACAACTTGCCCTGCAAACCTCACCCCCTGCAGCAGTCCACAATGTCAGGTTGGCAGAAAGGGCTGAGCAGTAATGCAACGCCCGACAAGAAGGCCAAAAGGAGGGTTCTGCGTGGTTCGCTAACCTGAAGCGCCAGAACTTGCCCCGCTCGTCCTCAAACTGCAGCGTCTGCCCGACGCTGACTTGGTCAAGGTCTAGCGGGAAGAACCGCTCCGCGTAGTGCTTGGGAAACACGAGCCGGTTCAGCTTCCCCACATCCGAGGGCGTCAGCGCCTTCTCAAACAGGAACTGACGCTTCTGGGCCCCGTCGAGCGAGGGCTGCTGGAAAGACTCGAGGCGGGCCGCCAGTTGGCCGAGCCGGGCGCTGTTGGCCATCTCCTCGTCGAACGTGTGCTTACGGAGCATCTCAACAAGCTGCAGGGAGGGGGGAAGATGTGCACCCTCAGGAGGCGATGCAGACATACAGCAGGTTAGAGAAGCACCTTTAAAAATGGTTCAAAATGCTGTCTGGGTAAGCAACATGAGATTGGCACAAATCAAAAAAAGGAAAAAAGGAAACCAGAAAGCAAGCTCACAATTTTTGACAAGACCAGGTACGAGGACCGGGGAAAACGGAACGGAAGTGTCACAAGGGGAAAAGAACCAGGGGTTGGTGTAGCTACTCAAAGAAGTGGTACCCAATGTGCATGAGGGGCACTGAATTGTCACAAGTGCAAACCAGTGGTATCGAAGCAGGCTGAGCATGACATCCTGAGACTCGTCACCAAACTTTCAGGGGATGCTAGTCCTCAACACCGTGTTTGTACTTGCGAAGTGGATGCGAGCCAGGTAAACCAGAGAGCTACGATTACAATGACGCATCTCCTCAATAAGCAAATAGAGCATTCCTCAACTCAACGTACAAAGCGTTAAAATCCAGCTGCCAGCAATGAAACTTGCCTCTTCCGCTTGAGCAAGTACATGCTGCGATCCTCAAATGCAATGTGGATCGAGCAGAGCAGCAATCCTTGAAAAGAAGCGAGAAGCAAACAATGGTGCCGACTTAAGGCTTTTGAGCACCTTCTGCAGCCCAGATGCAACTATGTTGGCAAAGCACAAACCCTGGTGCAGTCTAGTTGAACGAATGTTGAGAGACTTCCAGGCCCACGGTTTTGAAACCCCTGGTTCTCAACCCAATCTGACCAGGTCATTTGTCACCTAACTATACGAATCTAATCTCTGTAAGGGTGTGCCGGCAGCATGTAGAGCTTGGTAACTACGACCGTGCTAATCAATGCAACAAGCAGCCTTTGAGCAATATCAAACCAGCAAAGCAACTCCAGGGCACATAATGACTCGACGAGTACATAGCAGGATTCAAGGGCTGACCTGGTCTCTCCCAACCCCGGCAATGAACGCCCCCTCCGGATCAGCAACCGTCAAGGGCCGGAAGTTTGTCATTGCATCGTTGCCCTTAATCTTCACGGCGGCCCGATCGTGAGCACGCGCCGCATCGATCTCGGCGTCATACGTCCCCAGCCATAACCGCACGTGCTTGTCGTAAATCTGCGCTCCCCACTTGCCGTGCGGCTGCGCAACAACCCCTCGATACTGGCTGGAAAAAAGCTTCAGACTGTCCTCCCTGAACAGAGCAAACCCTACGCCGTCCTCCTGCCTGCTTAGACTCTCACCCCTTTCGAAACCTCTTTCTAAACCCTGTTCCAAACCCCGCTCTCCACCTTCCTGGCTCCACCGGCCAGAGCCCTCTCCAGCTTGCTGGTCAGAAGTCAGCAGACCCGGGGACTGGTTTGCCAGCAGATGCTCAACCTTCAAAATTGCCCGCGCCTCATTCTCAAAACCTGGGTCCTCCTGAGGACCCGCTGCTGAGCTGCTGGGCTCGTTCTCTGGCTCTGCGACTGCATCTTTGCCCTTGAGATGCTGGACCTCAAGAGTACGAATGCGGCCGGACCCATCAGTATTGCGGTACTCGTCAATCTCAAACTTCCCGCTCTTCAGGATCATCTTGCATTTCCCCGAGGCTTCAGGGAAGGGTGCAGGATGGCTGGAAAGACTGTCCAGTGCAATAGACACAGGTTTAGCTGACTCAGCACCACGCTCCCACTCTCCTTCTGCTGGCTTCCCTCCCATGTTCCAAGACAAAGGCGGCACCGCTTTCCCCTTTTTCCCCTCTTCCTCCAAACCAGGCCTGGCTGAAGTGCTTCTGCCTCGCCATGCATCTAAGGAGGCCCTGATGCTGCTTCCAGGCAATGCTTCGGTCTTCTTCTCCTGGCCCAGATGGAGCATAGTCTCTTCAGGCAGTGCCTCTATCTTCGGATAAGCAGCCCCCACGCAGTTCACAATCTGCATCCCAAACGTGCTGCGGACTACGCCCTTGGGAGGAGCGGCCTTGGGACGTTCCCGCTGATCCATTGGGCCGTTGCCATTTGGCTCGGGCTTCTCCCTAGGCGGCACAATGCCTGCAGCTCCCTCGGAGTCGAACATCTTCCTTAGCAGGTGCAACTAAGTAGGTACGTCCAACTTGTACTAAAGACCTTGAGATGCCTTGCCACAGGTGCTAGCAAAACCAATGCAGCAAAGCAGATGACAAACTTCAGAGAAAGCTTTGATCGGATTGACCCTTAATGGGGTCTGGCAAATGTTAGGTCCTAGAGAACGTACGGGCCATCCTGCACGCTTACGCACACGGACCAAAGAAGGCCAACAACGTGCACTACCGTATCCTGCGGACTAATTTAAGTAGACTCTCGAGGAGAGCTCCTCAAAGAGCTCCTTAGCAAGGCGAATCCCACCGCCAAGGGAGTGTATAAGGGGAAGGTCACATTGAAGTGGTACCCCCCCTAATTATTTGTAGAGGGTTTTTGCCGGGAGCGCTGGGTCCCCCCCCCATACCCACGGCCCAAGTCGAATCGGAGCGTCGGGCCCCCCTCCCATATAA